CAACAGGTCAGAAAGTAACAAATGCTGGTGAGGTTGTGGAGAGATTAGAACTCTTGTGCACTGCTGGTGGGATTGTAAAATGGTACAACCATTGTGGCAAATGGTATGGCATTTCCTTAAAAAACTGAAAATAGAAGTACCATTTGACCCAGCAATTCCATTACTAAGAATATATTCTAAAGAGGTAAGAGACAGCGCACAAACAGACATATGTACACCTATGTTCATCGCAGCACAATTCACCATAGCAAAGAGATGGAAACAACCTAAATGCCCATCAACGGATAAGTGGATAATCAAATTATGGTACATGCACACAATGGAATACTATGCTACATTAAAGAACAATGAGAGATATGTGAATCATCTCACAACGTGTATGAACCTGGAGGACATTATGCTGAGTGAGATAAGTCAATTGCAGAAGGACAATACAAGCCCATTACTGTAAAACGACAGAGAAGGGTTTGCTTGGGAAAGGGAACTCACTTAGGTTACCGGGATGGGGAGGAAAGGGGAGGAATTAATTTTGGGCTAGTTGGGGCCTACACGCTGACATGGGTAGGGGGATGGATATACGGGAAGGCTTTATGACCACCATAATAACATTAGGAAATGGGAGGACATTGAATTGTGCACATAAGAGATAGACAACAGATGCTAATACCAACCAATGTGTCTACAATACTGCATTGCCATTAACACCAAACACTAGGCTATATAGATAAACACATAAACATCTGAGATGATCAGACGGGGGTCAGTGAACAGAGGTATACTCTAGATCAAGGATAGATTCAGCTGAAGCTAATTTTGCACAGACACCAGTGATACAAAATACCTGCAGTCCTTAAAGAAACAATAGAAGACAGACACAGAGTAATCCCTCACAGACAACCAGACACTATGGGAGAGAGATCCAGTAGATCTACTGCCTCAGGACCATAGTACTGGGGGACACCACTCAATTGGCACAACAAAATACATAAAAGCTTTGTTCCACATCCTACATTGGTGAGTAACGACTGGGGTCTTTAAAGTTTTCAAGTGGCGATCTAAGATGCAGCTAATGGTCTCCTAGTGTCAGAAATGAAGAACACATACACACAAAAAAAGGGCATTTAGAAGCAATCAGCCCAGGACACGATGGCTCTCAAGACCAGAAGAACTGGATGGTGCCCAGTTACCAATGCCAACCACTCAGGAAAGGATCAAATCTGGAGATCCTGGATAGAATGGGAGGGAAAACGTGGAATAAAATCCAAAAACTCAATAATGACCAGAATTACTGGTCAGATGAAATCTGATGAGACTCCCAACACTATGGTCCTGGAATACATTCTGCACCTGGAATAAAACGCACCCCCAGGAGCTGGCTCTCAGCCCAAGAGTTAACAAGATGTGCATGTAAACCACTCAACCCAGTATGATGCACCTACATAGTCTATGGTAATACATCCTTTAGAGCAATAGACCATTGGACACCAGAGGGCCAACATTCAAATTGAGGAAATGCAGGGCAAACAGGAGTGCATAAATATGAGGGGCACAGGGGGCGGGTTACAAGGTAGGGAGGGGAGGAGACTGGGTTAGGGTTGGACATGGCGAATGGGGAATGAAACTAAATGTACGCATTACATTGAATGTAAAACAAGCTCTTAAAATAAAAAATTAAAAAAAAAAAAATAGTAGACCAGAGAAGGAAACTAATGGCAGCTAGGGAGATCATTGAGCTATATAAACATTTAGCTTCCACTTACGTGTTGGAATTATCATTGAGGCAAAAGAAAGAACAACAATGAAAGGATAAAGAGCTGGCAAGGCAGGAAAGAAGGATAAATATAGGTGAGGTTCATTCAAATGTGAGTTTCCAATATTCTTCCTACATGAATGGACATGGGCAGTGCTTTATTCAGCACAGAGCCTTGAATTTATGTGCATTAATAACATATATTTGTTGAATAAATGGCGAAGACCTCCCTTGAAGTCCTGCTCCAATGACTCGCAGCCCTTAATATCTGAAGTTCTTCTTCCTGTCTCTCCTAAACCTGTCCTGCTGCAGTTTCAACCCTAATTTGCAGGGAAGAGGGTGGAGGGAGGGACCATATTTACACCTTTACTGCTCCAGCAGTCCTCAATTCCTTTAACACTTCCAGCTGCTATTTTCTAATTCTCTAAATCATAAAATTCTTGGCTTTGAGATATTTTAACCATCCATCTAGTTGGAATGTTCCCACAAATCCAGTCAAGATGTATGAAGATCTATTAACAGGCCAGAATGCTTTTCTCTGACTAATATGGACCAGTCCTGCTGCTGTACAAGGAAAGGAAGCTCAAGACCCTCCTACCGAAGAATCCTCTCGAATTCATCCCTGTCCCGTTGCACTTGAACAGCCAGGGAGTGCTGCTTGAACGCCACCTGTTCCAGCCGACTCTTCCTCAGCATGGCTTCTGTTTCCATTTTCTTCTGTGCATTTTCTTTTTCCTTTCTGCGCCATTCTCTGTCTGCAACCTCCTGGTTGCGCTTGGCCCGCAAGGCATCCTGGGAAAGTAGAGGGTGGGGAAGAAAGGGGCCAGTGAGGGTGCAAAGTACCAGGTGCACACCAGGTGTCCTTAGGAAGACACCTATTTGCAGGCTCTGGCAGTCTGCCTTGAGAGGCACCTTAATTTCTCTGGCGGCAAATTATCCTGAGAAAAAAATGTATAGAATCCTGTTACAGAACTTTCAGGTCAGATGATACCCTGAGGGGCACTTTGTCCTTCCACCCTACTCAGCCCAATTCTTTCCCCATTCCTCAAACACCTCCCAGCAGCCCTGCAATTGCTTCTAATTTTAAAAACTGCTAATGATGGAGATGCTACAGTTTCCTCTGATGACACATTTCAGTGGTTAAGGTTGAAAGTTCTTTATATAGCATCCAAAGATTTTTCTCTTGAACCTTGAGTGCATAATGCACTGCTCAATCCTTGCTGTCAGAGACAACAGGAGCAGGCCCACCCCATGACCCGTAGACTAGTGAAGTCTAGAAAACATGCATCCTCTCTTCTATACCTCCCCCTCCCTGGAGGCCATCATAGAGGTTGTCAAAGGAATAGTTAGGAGTGTGGGAGAGGAGAAGGAAGTTGAGACTAAATAGGTACCTGTTCTGCCTGGTAATCCTGGGCTTTTTCCTGCAGGGCCCTCAGGCGAGCAATCTCCTTCTCTTTCTCCCTCCGGATCCTCTCCTGCTCAGCCTCAAACTCTGCTTCTCGAGACTGCCAGGAAGAAAAGGCCTTGTTGCTAAAAGGATCTAAATGCCAAACTGCCATCAAGTCAGCTCTAACCCATGAGCCACCCCTCCTTCGGTTTCCAAGGCGATGTCACTATAGAAGTAGATTGCTTAATCTTCCCTCCAAGGAGTGGCTGGTAGGTTTGAATCGCCAGCCTTCTGGTTAGCAGTTAAATACCTTAGGCACTACATCACCAGAGCTCCTGCTCCCACTAACCCAGCCTTGGAAGGAGTCTCTGAGTAGTACAAATAGTTAAGTGCTCGACTACCAGCCGAAAAGTTAAAAGTTCACACCCACCCAGATGTGCCTGGGAAGATGGGCCTGGTGATCTGCTTCCAAAAGGGTACAGCCTTCACGATGGACACTGGGAAGAGGTAACTATTGGGAGGAAGTGAGAGAGGAGCTGTTGCACTGTGGTAAACTGTGGTCAATGTCATGAGACAAAGTGTATGTGAACTGCTGTATGGAAAGTGAATTTGCTCTGTAAATCTTCACTCAAATCACAATGTAAATAAATAAGTAAATAAAAATTTTAAAAAAAGGTACAACCTTCAAAACTCTTTGAGGAGGGGGAAAATAAAGCTCTATAGAACAGTTCAACTTGGCACACATGAAGTCGCTATGAGTGGGTATCAACTCAGAAGCAACTCCCTACCACCTCAGGCTTGCAGAGAGAAACAAAGTCCCTACCAAGATCTGTCCAATATCTCCCCTACCACTCTGTGGCTCCTTCTGAAATAGGGCAAGGTTGAACTTAGCAATACCTGAACAAGAAGCAATGAATGTTCCCAAAATGCTTTGTTTACAAAGTGCTTTCACAGGTATTAACTGAGAGGGCCCTCACAATATCTCATGAGATAGGTATTATAGATGAGGAAACTGGTGTTCAGAGGGTTAATCTCTTGCCCAGGATTGCATAGCTAGTAAACCACCAAACAGAATTTGAACACAGGTGTCCTGAGTCCAGATTTCATGCTCCTTTCACTATACCACAATTTCAAATTGCAAAGCCACTGGGCCAAGTTTCTAAAAGTAACAGTTGTGGCTTGCTGCCTGTCTTGTAAAGTGCAGTGGGTGGAGATTATCTCATTAGTCCCCGGGCAAAAGGCCAAACATGCTTTGGGCGATCCCATAGTGTTCAGCAGTTACCCAGGAAGTGAAGCATCAAAATTAACTTCCTTTACCCACTTCTCTCCACCCACCATCTGTCAGTTTGTTGTCCTGTGGTAGCTTGCCAGGGGCTATGATGCTAAAAGCTCTGCAAACAGTATTTCAAATACCAGTGGGGTCACCCAAGGTGGATAGGTTTAAGCAGAGCTTCCAAACTAAGACAGACTAAGAAAAAAGGTCTGGTGATCTACTTCTGAAAATTAACAAGTGAAAGCCCCATAGATCACAACAGAATATTGTCCAATATAGTGCTGAAAGCAGAACCTCCTAAGTTGGAAGTTACTCAAAATACCCATGGGCCACAACAACAGACTTGAGCACACCAATGACAGCGAAGATGATGCAGGATGACGTAATGTTTCATTCTCTTGTACATGGGGTCACTATGAGTCAAAGCTGACTCTATGACAATTAACAACAACCATTTCTCTAAAATAAAAGATACATTCCTGAAAACTTCTCGTTCTTCAGGTCATAAAACTAATGGGGCAGGTTGGGTAGAAATGAGATTTTCCCATAAAGAACATTCCTTAGCCCAGACTCTGTGCAACTCAGTGAGCTGTCTGATTGTGAGCTGTGCGCAGCTGTGTATCAAGCTGGTCCCTCTGTTCCACCTTGCCCTATATGACTGGGCAGGGAACTCTGGATGCTTCCACAACAAATCCCTGCCTGCACCTCTGAAAAGGAAGCCCTGCTTGCAAGAACAGAAACCACCATGAGGTTAGGGAAGGACCTGTGTTGCACTAGGATATATATAGTAGATGTGAGCATGCCCAATTCCTGATCCCTTTGCAGTCTTCAGCCTCTCCCAGCTCCACCTGCTCATGTCCTTCCCATGTATAAAGATAAGATGTTCCTCTTCTGCTCAGAAATCTATGGTGATTTCTCATCATGTCATGCTTCCAGCTCTACCCCAGGTTTAAGGCATCCCCAACAACTGCTCTCAGCTCTCTCCATCATCTCACCACCCTCTCTTCTTACTGTGTCTACCACAGACTCTCTGCCATAGTCAGCAAACCTGTTTACCAGCTCTGGTGGCATAGTGCCTAAGGCATTTGACTACTAACCAGAAAGTTGGCAGTTCAAACCCACCAGCCACTCCTGAGAAGGAAGATTAGGCAATTTACTTCCATAGCGATACCACCTTGGAAACCTAAGGAGGGGTCACTATGAGTCGGATCCGACTTGATGGCAGTGAGTATGGTCTTTTTTCATACATAATTAGCTTATTATCACCCCCTTCATCTAGTCAGGGAAATAGTTACTGAGTTCCATATTATATATATAGCATTATTCTAGGTACTTAACCTCTTTGAGCATAGTTTGATACTTGACATACATTGAAGCAGTCAATACATTTTAATCAATTAATGATGACTTCACATGGTTGTTGTAAGGATTAAATGAGATACCATACATAAAGCACTTAGCACAGAGACTATACACAGTCTAAATGCTCAAAAAATGGCAGTTGTAGCATCATTATTATGTACAAAACATCTATGTTCACAATCTTGATTTCTCATTCTATTGCCTACATAACCCTGCATCCAGTAAGAAAGCCAAAACCAAAGCCAATAAATCAACTTTTGGGGATTTATTTTCTACAGTTTGCATTTGGAATAAACAGATATATCAGTTATGCCTTTTCAAATTATACTCACACCCTCTCCTTGCCCTTCTCTAAGATCACTAATATAGAGGAGCACAAAGAAGTATGAAGTGGTTTCTGTCATCATGGGACTTGGAAGTTAGCAGGGGAGACAAGACAGACACATGAAGAGACACTTGTGACTTTCCCATCATCTTGGGTGCTTCTCCCTCTTTATATAAATCCACACTCACTCCATCTAAACTGTGCTTAAAACCTAAAGCCTTTTTATTTGCCCCATCCCCCACAGACTCTAATCATTTCACTACTCAATTCTGCCCCAGAATGATCCACACATCCATGAACTATATCCATCTGTGATTGTTTGTGGCTATTGCTCCACGGTGCATTTTTCCTACAGACCCTACAGTGTCAGATGGGAGGAGGACCTATTTTCTGAGTCTAGTACCCAATACAGGACACACCATATGGAAATTTTCACAATAAATTCACAGGGCATCTGACTGATGATCACTGAGAATATAATTATCCAGGTCATGAGGAATCCACAAAAACTTTACTTTCAGGAATACTTTTAATTTTCTTCCCTGCCTGTACATGACCCTCCTCTCAACTTCTAATCAAAGGTGTTAACATGGATAATAACATACTAATTTGGATGTCCTTTCTAGGCTACTCTCTGCTAATGAGCAAATGGACTGGCCACGATGAAGAGAAAAAGAGAGCAGGCTCGTGAACTAAGGGCCTGAATTTTAGAATGAGGAGATGACTGCCTTCCATTGGAGCTCCCTTACTTCTCAAGCCTGCCTCTCCCTGAGGCAGAGACACAGACATTCCATTCCATTCAGAAGCCCCTAAGCATCAGAAACCAGATCCCTACCATCTTCTTCTTGGTGAACTCCATCACCATCTGGTCTGCCAGTTTCTCCTGAGCCAATAGCTCTGCTTTCTGTCTCTGGTTTTCATCATTGATGCGCTTAATCTCCGCTTGCATCTTCAGTTTTTCCTGGTGCCTTTGTTCCATGTCCTGCCAGGAAAAAAAAAAAAAAAAAAACAGACTCAGAGTAGGAGATAAGAAACAAAGACATGCATATAGAGGAACAGAGAGACACCAATGGAGGCAGAGAGACATGTGCACTCCCCACATTCTGGCTTCCATTAGGACCTTTTATTAAAGCTGCTCTTTCAAAGGCCATCAAGGACCTCTTCTAACCAAATGGCTTCTTTCTAGTCTTCATCCAACTTGACTTCTTGTCAGAACCTGCCACTATTGACCTCTACATACTTTCGGGAAGTGGAAGCTCTTAAAATTCTACTGTGTCTCCCACATGTCATGCTAAATCCTGCCCCTGTGGCTTTGCTCATGCTGCCTTCCTTCTGCCTTAAATTCCCTTCTATTTAAACCCAAACTTTTTCCCATTCAATAGTGATGATTAAAATAATGAGTATTGCCCTAATTGACAACTTCCTATTCATTGGGCACTTTACACATACTATCCCTGACACCTAAATACATATAAAAATCCTGGAAGTTGGCTTTGTTATTCTTCTTGTACACATGAGGAAACTGAGGCCCAGAATTTAAGTGTTATCTCTTTTGTATGAGGAAGCTGAGGCCCAGGGATACACAAATAATAAGCTACCAAACCAAACCCACTGCCTTAGAGTCATATCCGACTCATAGCAACCCCTCCTTGGGTTTCCAAGGCAGTATCACTAAGGAAGTAGACTGCCAACCTTTCTTCCAAGTAGTGGCTGGTGGGTTTGAACCACCAGCCTTCTGGTTAGCAGTCAAATGCCTTAGGCACTACACCACCAGAGATCCTTAATAAGCTACAGAGTCAGAATTTTAAAACTTGGTCTATCTAACATAAAGTTCCAACCTCACCTGAAAAGTGATGACCCTAACTTTCAGAAATTGCTCCACTTCTGGGTTCCCTCTGCATTTAAGTCAGTATCACACCACTTGAGATTTGATTATACGCTGTCTTGCAGGTACCCACCTGGTTTGTACATGCTCACTCTATCTCCATTGAAGGACAGCAACCATGTGTCACACTTCCTTTCTCCCCCAACAGTGCGTAGCCCAGTGTGAGAAAATAGCAAATATTCAATAAGCTATTGCTAAATGAGGCAGGGAAGGGAGACCAAAGTCAGTAGCATGTGATAAAAAGTGGGGGGAAAGTCTTAAGAGAAAAACACAAAGACAGATGGAAATCAGAGTACCAGTGTAATCCTTAGCGAGAAGATCCTTCTTAAGCCCTTTGCCTTGATCAACTCTAAGCCTTCAAAAGCTCACAATCATCAGACCACTTCTGAGCCCAATCACACTCTCAAGTCACAATGCAGAGGGACAGTGAATCCTATATAGCTGACCTCCTTATCATCTCCATACCAAAAAAAAAAAAAAACTGCCGTCAAGTAGATTCCAACTCATATATCAAATTCCAACTCTTTGCTTCAAATTTTTCTATCCATCAACTCACCCCACTCACACATTGTTTCCAGCTGCCTCCATTTCTCCAAAGACTAAATCCCTGCCTGGCCTTCCAGCTCATCCTTACCCCCAGCTTTCCTCCATGATTCTTTAGCTAAGGCAACTCTGCTATATGTCTTCCTCTCAGGCAGGCTCTCTCAGCTTGGCACACTGCCTGGTTCAGGGCTCCTTCCTCCAGGAAGCCTTCTGAACTAGATGAATACAGCAACTATCTGCTTCTTCACTGGGTGGATTGCAGAGCTTACCTTCCTCCTTGTTGTTGTTGTTGTTGTTGTTATGTGCTGTCGAGTCAGACCTGACTCATAGCGACCCCCTCCTTGGGTTTCCGAGGCAGTATCCCAACCTTCCTTCCGAGGAGTGGCTGGTGGGTTTGAACCGCCAGCCTTCTGGTTAGCAGGCAAGTGCCTTAGGCACTATGCTACCAGAGCTCCCTCCTTCCTCCTTAGGAGAAGGCAAGAAGGCAGTCTGTGGGGCATGAGTGAAGCTAGGAACATTTCACTTCTCATCACACTTACATCTTTCAAGTCCACTTCTCCCCTTTTGCCACACCAACTCTCACATTCCTTTTTTTCCCTTCTCCCTTTCTTCCTTTCCTTTCTAAGTTCTACCTACCAGCTTTAGGCCTGCTGTTGGTACCTCAGGCACAATTTAGTCCTGCTGACCCTCAAAGCTTAAGAAGCTACTGACCTCTATGGCACATACACAATTTATTTACTTACTGCTTTGCTTATTTATTTACTTGCTGGTTTGCTGTTTTTTGTTGGTTCATTTCACTGTTCTAGAAACCAAAGGATTTTCCCTGGTTCTTATCTTTGAAGTCCTTCCAGGACAGCGCCAGATAAACTCCCTGTACTCTTCTTCATCTCACTAGGAAGGTGAGGAGAGGACAGAAAGCTGCCGTTGTACTACCTCAAATGGCAACACAGGTCTAAAGCTGCTGTGGCACAGGTTTCTACCTTAAAATTGCTTAATTTTTTGTATATGTCCTGGAGACACAGGGAGTGGTTACTGGACGGGCATCAAAAAGTCAATGACACAACCTGGATGTGATGGTGTTCACTCATTGAGATGTGGGGCTTGCTCCCGGGAGTCTCAGTGAGCCCCAGTTCCCACTCCCCACAATCCAACTAGATTTTCCAGTCTTCGTTTCTTACCCCCTTCCCTGCAGATTTGCCCCATCCCTCTCCCACCTGGTGCTTTCCTTCTCTCTCCTAAGCCAGGAGCCAGAGCAGCCTGCCCAGGTCTCCCTGTCTCCTTGCCCCTGCTGGTCCCCTCTCAAGAAGTTCAAAAGCTACGTGCCCTTTCTCCTTCCCTCACTACCCAGGTGATCTTCATCCCACTCCTCACACAGCTTCTTACATCACTGGTATGCTGTGAAGCCTTTATAATTACAAGTCTGCTCACCATGAGGCCCTTCACAGCCTCCCATCACTCATCACCATCAAATCCACTGGTTGGTGACAACTCAATCATCCATAAAATGGAGAAGGAGGAGAAAATGAAAGAATGCATGTCCCCCAAGGTAAATGGCACCATGAGGAAACAGACACACCCAAAATGTGGGACATATTTTAAGGCAATTAGCCTGAACATTTCAAAAAAGTCAATTCATTGAAATTAAATAAATTACATATATATGTATATATACACACACACACACACATACGTATATAAACACAAATACATATGTATATAAACTCTTCTAGAAAGTGTCAGATTACCCAATAAGCAAGGTAAATACAGGCTTACTTGTGCTTACTTACTAAAATGTAGTAAACAATTTCACATTTTTTCACCACATCAAAGATTCTGTTTCCAGGTATGGCTGGCCTCTGTCTCTCTGCCAACCCCACAGCACCTTCCTACAGAATGAAAGTCTCTTTTCATATTTACAGTCCCTGACAGGGATGGATTACCCAGGAAGCAAGGTAAATATGGGCTTTCTTATGCTTACTTACGAATGTGTAGTGAACAGTTTCACATGTTTTGCACCATTTCAGGTAAGCCTGTGTTTACCTTGCTTATTGGTTAATCCACTCCTGCTTCTAAATCAAAACAGAATAAAGAGACTTAACAATGCAATGTGTGAAATTTAATTGGATCTTGGTTTGGGAAAAAAAAAAAAAGGAAACAGCTAAAAATACATTTGGGGAAAAACTGGATAAATCCCAATGTGGACTGAATACTAAATACTGGGCAATCTACTTCCATAAAGATACTGCCTTGAAACCCAAGGAGGGGTCACTATGAGTCAAAATTGACTCGATGGCAGTGAGATTAATAAAACAATGGATTAGATTGAGTGTACGGGGGGTCAGTTAAGAATAGCATTATTGACCTGTAAGAGAACATCTTTGTTCTTAGGAGATGCAAGCTGAAATATTTAGTGGTAAACTGTCAAGATGTCTGCACTTACTTTCCAATAATTTCACAAGAACAACATATATATGTACATCTAGAAAGAGACAAGCAACCAAGAACATTTGTTAACAATTATGAAATCTAGGTGAAGCATTTACCGGTGTGGTAGTTTTTTCAACTTTTCTGCGTGTGTGAAAATTTTCAAAATAAAAAGGGGAGGGGGAAAAAATGTTCCACATGCCTGCTATGTCATACACTATACTGAAGGTTTTTGTATGTTGCAACAGACCAGATGAGGCTAATAGAATAGGTTTTTTTAAGTCGAAGTTTGGGCAAGTATATAATCATATCTTTTGCAATAATTATGCCTATTAATTGTATTTAGGCTAACAGGAAAAAAGGTTTGGCTTCTTGACACAATTAATGACAGAATGAGGTAACAGCAGGGAGGCTAGAACTAAGGCACCATTGTTCATGTACAGGGTATATACCATCCCTGGATAATAGAGAGAAGACTTTAAACATCTTTATGTTTATTTCCTTTGTGTGTCCATCTTCACTGATACGTTGGTCTTAGACCCCAAGTTCCTGGGAGGCAGGGAAAGAATCTATCCAAATCATAGCATGGCACCCCACACAAATTAATATTTAACATGGCAACAAAAAGTTGATGATGATGATGTTGGGAAATAAGTACGTTCCTGACAGAAAATCAGTCCATACCATGGAAACCCAAAAGCTTTGCCACCAGTGCTAGTGGAACTTGGCATTACCTGTCCAGCCCCCTGTTACCTTTAGATCCTCCTCTTGGAGCTGTTCCATATACTCCAGCATCTGCTCTTTCTCCTGCTCCCGCTGCTCAGCAAGCAGCGATCGCTCTTCCTGGTTCTTTTCCATCTGTTCCACAATGTGCCGTCTTCCTCTGGGAAGGAGCAGCCACAGTGTCTTAGAAGCCAAGAATGTCTGGCCCTCTGCTTCACCCTCCACCCACACAGTCACCCTAGATGGGATGCATCACAAGAAAAATTTGACAAATGCTCCTGAACAGTGATAAGCTTCATGCATCCAGACCGAAATCCTTCCCCATGGTGTCCTAGAGGGTTGGCTTTCTTTCATCTGAGCTCCTGGTTCTGGGGCTCACCCTTCCTGAAATTTCTTTTCTTCATTTGTTTTCCCAAAAGTGCACCCCACATTACTATACCTTCCCCTTCCATTATGTAACCAGTTACCATTGAGTTGATTACAATCATAGTGACCCCATATGTGTCAGAGTAGAACTGCTCCACAGGGTTTTTAACAGCTGTGATCACCAGGCCTTTCCTCTGAGGTGCCTCTCAGTGGATTTGACCCACCAAACTTTTGCTTAGTAGTTGAGTGCTTAACTATTTGTATCTCCCAGGGACTCCCTAGTATGAAAACCAAACCAAACTCACTGCTGTTGAATCGGATCCGACTCATAGCGACCCCCCTCTTTGGGTTTTTGAGGTGGTATCACTACGAAAGTAGATTGTCCAACCTTCCTTCCGGGGAGTGGCTGGTGGATTTGAACCTCCAGGCTTCTGGTTAGCAGTCAAATGCCTTAGGCACTATCCCACCAGAGCTTCCCCCCAGTATGTAAAGAGCACCTAAAATCCTACCACTTCCTAAGTCTTCCCAGCCACAGAAGCCCTGCTCACTTCACAAAGCTACAAAACCCAAGACTTCTAATTCCTCCAGTTTTTCTGCCATCACCATATTTATCTTTTCTTCCTACTTTACCTCCCATACCTAGTTTGGTAACTGTCTCATATCTGCTCTCACATTTTCAGACTGTCAGCTACTGGTGGGCAGGGATTGAGTCTGATGGAGTCTCTCCACCCAACACCTCATGCACTGCTCCAGCCAAACAATAAAAAGTGGGGGAGCCAGGTTCTAGAATCAGTGTTGACTGTTGATGTGTTACTGGAATGCCAATTAACTTGGAAGCATCCAGGGAAAATAAGACCCCAAGATCTATGAGTAAAGGCTGGAAGAATGGGAGAAGACATCGATTAGGATAGGAATCAAAGAGAGGAAGGGACAGATTCACATTCAGACAGAGCACTTGAATGGCCTCATGACTCTAGATGAAATAAACAGGAGTAATGACTACAGGTTACATGGAAGCAGGTTTGGGCTCAATATAAGGACCAGTTCAGATCGTTAAAACTGCCTAATGAGGCAGAGATTTTTCCATCATTGGAACTGATTATGTAGATGGATAAATGCTTAGCCATTGAATAAACTTGTGTTAAGAGCCTATTATAGTCTATCAGATACCTACCAGAAGTAGAGAGGTTAATAGGACAAGAGAACAGAATTCAGCTGGGAAAAGAGAAACACCATTCAATGAAGTACTAGGGCTATTTATAGAGGTAATTAATGTGTTTGTGGTTGCTGTTCTAAATTTTGGACACTATGAGTCTATAATTTACCTGTTCTGGGACTTATCTTTTTCTGCAAACTGAAGGGGACTAAATCTATTCATTCTAGCATTTATCAATCACCCACTATAGGCCAAACACTTTTAGGCACTGGAGCTAGAGGAATGAGTAAGACAGGGACCCTGTCTTCAATGAACCCACAACCTAGTGAGGGTCACAGAGCCACACATGTAAAAAGATGCTTGTGACAATGCAAGAAGTCTTGTGCCAGAGCATAAACACAGTGACAGGGCACAGAGGAAGGAGCACTGCCCTGCCTGGTGACATGAGGGAGATTTCAGGGGAAATGATAGCAATGCTACCCAATGAGAGAAGAGAAAGCATTTTCCAGGGAGAAAAAGAAAAAAAAAAAGACCTTCAAAGCAGAGGAAACAGCAAAAGCCATGAACTTGTAACAAGATTTGGCATGCTGTGGGGATAGAGAAAAGAGTGTGGTGCATGGCAGGAAGTGGTGAAAAATGAAGCTGAACTGGGGCCAGATTGGGAAGCATTTGTGATGACCTTGGAAATAATCTCTAAATGAAAGGTTAACCTTTAAACATTATAAACTTCTGTGATTCCATGAATCACTTTGTAAAGGATTTGAGATGATAATTGACAATGGTAATGGTCATTTCTCTCTCTTTCCTCTTTACTGGTCTATGTAGACCTAAAGATACAGGGATATGACTTAGAGAGGGAGATGCCAAAATTGTCTCTTTACCTGATTCTTTCCTCCCTCCTCTTATTGTCCAGTTCTTCCTGCCTTTGAATGGATTTCTGCCGCTCCACTTCCATCATCTGATCCAACCTCTTCTCCTCTGTTTCCAATTCTTTTTGGATCAGCTGCTTCTCTAGGATTTGAGCATCCCGGATGGCATGGCACTTGGCATTAAGGATGATCTGGGGAGTAGATATGAATTTGTGGCACAAGATCTGGGGACAAGGATAGGGAGGAGTGCAGTATGGAGGTGTGGAAGTTTGAAGGGGGAGAAATGGGAGCTATTGAGTGTGCTGCAGACCCACATGGCTGCTCAGGTCAAGAAAAGTAAGAGCATGCCTACATCAGCCTTTCCCCTTAATATAGTTCAATTTGAACATTGAGCTCCTATGAGGTGTTGGAGTCTGTACAAGGAGAAGTCCAGAATAGCATATCTCAGGGCACTGTGTCTTAATCTTTTGCAGGTCATGGATCAATGTGATGAAAGCTATGGGCATGGTCCCCAGTAAAGTTCATTTACATATATACACACAAAAATTTCCATACAATGTCTGAGGTTCAGGGTCCCTTGTAAGGATCCATGAACCTCAAGTTAAGACACCCTGTTCTGCTCCTCAGGAAAACTAAGACAGCTTGCAGAGCCCAGGCCACCCGAATGTTAAGCTAGAAGAGCCCAGCATGACACTTAAACTAAAACCAAACTCACAGTCATCGAGTCAATTCTGACTCATAGCAACCCCCACTGGGCTTCTGAGGCAGTAAATCTTTACGCAAGTAGATTGCCCCATCTTCCTTCCATGGAGCAGCTGGTGGGTTTCAACCACCAACATTCTGCTTAGCAGTCAAATGACAGTAAAACCAAAAACCCAAACTCAATGCGGTTGAGTCGACTGCGACTCATAGCGACCCCTCCTTGGGTTTCCCAGGCAGTATCTCTATGGAAGTAGATTGCCCAATCTTCCTTCTCAGGAGTGGCTGGTGGATTTGAACTGCCAGCCTTCTGGTTAGCAGTCAAATACCTTAGGCACTATGCCACCAGAGCTAGAGAGGATTTTAAAAAAGGGGGGGGGCATATGTAAGAAGTAAAATTTTGGAAAACAAAAGAAGGAACAGGTAGAGAAGCTTTACATGAGAGACAGAAATCAGAGATGAAGGATTGGGGAGTCAGCATTTTTCATTTGGTTGAGAAATGAACCACATACAAATGGGTTATAAAATAGAATTCAAATGAGCCTCTGGTTTTTGTGCTCTAAGCTAAAGGATGCACTTTGGGCACTTCATAAAGAATCCAGTTGCCTGAACTATATGTGGCCAGAATTAAATAAGCAAGATAAAAATAAAAGAAGTATCCTCATAGTTATTTATCAATCTGTAGTTTAAAAGGTTCTCCCACCTATTAGCTTATTTAAACCTGCTTAAGTAGCTTAACCAGGAGCTCTGGTGGCATAGTGGTTAAAGCATTTGGTTGCTAATCAAAAGGTTGGTGGTTTGAGCCCACCACCATTTCTGAAGGAGAAAGATGACACTGTGTCCATAAATATTTACATCCTTGGAAACCCTGTGGGGCAGTTCTACTCTGTCCTATAGTGTCCCTATGAGTTGGAATCTACTCGATGGCAGTGGGTTTGGATTTGGTTTTAATTTTACCATTCTTATTCACAAATGAAGAAGCTGAAGCTTAGGGAGGGCAAGTGACTTGCTCAAAGTCACACAGCTAGCAAGTGGCAAAGATGATCCTCCCTCTGATCATGGCTCTCACCCACCAGCCCCTCACCTATCACCCCTAAAGCATTTGACTGCTAACCAGAAGGCTGGCGGTTCAAACCCATCAGCCACTCCTGAGAAGGAAGACTGGGCAATCTACTTCCATAGTGATACTACCTCGGAAAACCAAGGAAGGGTCACTGTGAGTCAGATATGACTCGATGCCAATGAGATGAGTACCTATTTCTAGCTGGAACCAAGGCTGTCCAGTGTGAGAATAAAAGGAAGGTAGAAGTAGGGAGAGAACCGTGAATGGCAGTAAGTCCTCAGAGGGATGTAAGGAACATAAGTGCCCACCTTGCTCATGTCCTTGAGCTCCTCTTCTTGCTCCATCCGCAGGTTGTTGGCTCTCTGCAGGAGGTTCTGGGCCCTCTCCTTGGCCACCTCCTCCAGGTCACTGAGCTTTTTGTTGTTCTTACACACCATTTCCTTCTGTTTCATGATTTTCTTGCGTGTTGTCACTGCATCCTAAGGGAGACCAGTCTGGATGGATTGGGGATTACTCCCTTGTGCTCTGTGCCCTGGGCACTAGTCTGGCTACTTCTTTTTTTTTTTATTAGGATTTGGGTGAAGATTTACAGAGTAAATTCACTTTTCATACAGCAGTTCACATATACTTTGTCTCATGTCATTGAAGTCTGGCTACTTCTGATGACCCAATACAATTTCTGCCTCGTTCCATCAAAACCCAGAAGGTTCACAGTTTGCCTTCATTCTCACCACTGCCCCTGCCCCCCAGTTGCTTCCACATCTCAGATGTCTCTCTGGCCTCCATTCTGCAACATACATATTCACTGCCCATTTTGGGGTTCTCTAACTAGAAGCCCGGCCCCTCTCCAGAACATTCTTCTCTGCCTTCTATCTGGAAGAAGTACAGCCAGAATGCTCCTTAGAAGCAAAAATGGCCAGACTTCTTCTGACCTACTTTGGTCATGTTGTCAGACGGGACTATTCTTTGGAGAAGGATAACATGCTTGGTAAAGTGGAGGGTCAATAAAAAAGAGGAAGGCCTTCAATGAGATGGATTGACATAGTGGTTGCAACAATGGGCTCACGGTGTGGCAAGGATTGTGAGGCTGGCACAGGACTGAGCAGTGTTTTGTTCTATTGTACATAGGGTTGTTATGAGTTGGAGCCGACTCGACAGCACCTAACAACAACATCTGCAGGGACTAGGACTGAAAGAGTTTAGTTACCATGATGGCTTCCTTCTCCATCTTGAAGGCCTGCTCCTTGGCCTCAAGTTCTTCCCTGGTCAGGACATGGGATGCCCATTTGATCCGCTCAAACTCTTCGGGGCTGATGATAAGGGATTCCCCAGAGGGATCCACTGTGGGAACACTGACACAAGGAATGAACAAAGTTAGGGAGAGAAAGGCAAGTTCCTAGCACCATGTTTCAGGCTTCTCTTCCCCACCCCCATTAGTGCCAAACCTCTGGCTTGGACACAGCTGTGTCAGGAAAGACTGCCAACTACACTAGGGGTCCACTGGGGACAAAGGGTCTTAGATGAAGGTGAAGTAGTATCCCAAGTTAAAAAGAGACATTTTACATACTTTAAAGGTATAACATTTCAAAGAATGGGAATTCCAGGAACACTTAATTATGCTCATGAGGAACCTGTATATAGACCAAGAGGTAGTCATTCGAACAAAGCAAGGGGATACTGCATGGTTTAAATCAGAAAGGTGTGTGTCAGGGTTCCATGTTTTCACCATATTTATTTATAACTTGTTCATAATCTGTATACTGAGCAAACTATATGAGAAGCTGGACTACATGAAGAAGAATGTGGCATCAAGATCAGAGGAAGAATCATTAACAACCTGTGATATGCAGATGGCACAACCTTGCTTGCTGAAAGTGAAGATGACTTGAAGCACTTACAGATGAAGATCAAAGACTACAGCCTTCAGTAAGGATTACACCTCAGCATAAAGAAAACAAAAATCCTCACAACCAGACTAATAAGCAATATCATGATAAACAGAAAAAAGATTGAAGATGCCAAGGATTTTATTTTACTCGGATCCATAATCAATGCCCATAATCAAGAGCAGCAGTCAAGAAATAAAATGACGTGTTGCACTAGACAAACCTGTTGCAAAAGACTTCTTTAAAGTGTTAAAGAGCAAAGATGTTACTTTGAAGACTAAGATGAACCTGGCCCAACCCATGGTATTCTCAATTGTTTCATACACATGCTAAAGCTGGACAATGAATAAAGAAGACCGAAGAAGAGCTGATGCTTTTGAAGCATGGTGTTGGCAAAGAATACTGATTATACCATGGACTGCCAGAAGAACAAACAAATCTGGCTTGGATGAAGTGCAGCCAAAACACTCCTTATACTCAAAGAATGGTGAGATTTTGCCCCTTGTAGTTTGGTCATGTTGTCAGAAGGTACCATTGCCCAGAGAAGGATATCATGCTTGGTAAAATAGAGGGTCAGTGAAAAAGAGGAAGACCCTCAATGAGTTGGATGAACACAGTGGCTGCAACAATGGGCTCAAACATAGCAATGACTATGAGGATGGCACAGCACCAGCAGTGTTTCACTCTGTTGTACATAAGGTCATTATGAGCTGGAACTGACTTGACAGCACCTAACAACAACAAAGGTCCAGTTTATATATTACCTTCTCTGTGCAGCAGTCTGTGACAACCCTCCATATACAAATATGCCATAACCACCCTCCAAGTCTGATAAATAACCTCCTCCTCTGAGCTCCCATTGTCCTTTATTCTTACTGCCTGCATTATTGGCCAATCATGCAGTATGTTTCCTTGGCTAGATTACAAGCTCCTTCAGGGCACAGGCGCTGTCTTAATCACATGGTAGCCTAGTCTCTGGCACACTGTTTGGCACAGAATGAGAACCCAAAATAAAGCTGCTGACTTGAATTTTAAAAATAGATTATTTGTGGAGGATGACATAAAAAAATAAAAGGAAGGGGATGCTGGGCAAGGTTGAAATGGATGCCAATGAGAAACCTAAACATCCCTGTCCATCCAGCCCAGAAAGAAGTTTTGAACCCTAAATATTAATTAAAATCTCTGATCAACGCCAGTTGGAGACATGTCTGTAGACCTCTCCTTCTAGCTGGCCAACGCATTCAACAAACCAATAACTAATTATAATGATTACAAACAAAAGACATACATTAAAGATGGGGGAGGGAGTAGCTAGCTGATGGGAGGGGTGAAGTTAGGCTGCTTCTGGGTGAGGCGCTTTTTAACAGGTAGGTGACAATAAGACGCAGACAGTCTGAGGCAGGAAGTGAAATCTCATCTAATAAAACCAGTGGGGGGATTCCAGACGGCAGACAGAATGAGTGAGTGGACTTGGGGATTAGCAAGGTTTTGTGGTTACTGAGTGACTGGCCCAAAACAGCCTTGGATCTGAAATGACCGGGAATGATGTGAGTCAGAGACAGAAGCTCGTGATGCTTTCAGCAGCCCTGAGAAATGAGCAGCCACTTCACCTGACCCGTTCAGGACTAGACCACTCTAAGAAGGAACCTGTTCTCAGATCCTAGGGGTGGCTGCTAACTATATCTGACCGTATGATGCCAGGCTAACCAGACAATACTCAATCAGAAGCTGCAGTCAAGTCCAGTTCCCAGAGCTGTATCCCAGCTATGCCCTTCTGGCACATGACACAAGCAGCATTTTCTGGGAATCTAAGTTTCTAGCAGGTGGAGCTAACAGAGGAAGAACAGTTACAGAGAGTTCAGCATTAGTGCAAGAGCTAAATCCCTGAACAGACAACGCAGGCTCATTTCACACCGCTGAGCCAGGCCTACACCCAGGGGCAGGTTACTCAGTAAGCAAGGTAAGCACGGACTTATGTATGCGTACTTACTAATGGATAGTGAACAATTTCACATGAATTTCCCCACATCTTTGATATGCTGAAAAACTTGTGAAACTCTTCACTACAGTTTAGTATATGCTTTCCTTGTTTACTGGGTACTCAGGCCCTGTCAGGGATTTAAAATTTGAAAAGAGGTTTTGATTCTGTAGGAAGGTACTATGGGACTGCCAGAGAGACAGATGCCAGCCATACTGAGAAGTAGAATCTTTGATGCGGCAAAAAAAGAATAAGAAATTGTGCACTACAGATTAGTAAGTAAGCACAAGTAAGCCTTTGCTTGCCTTGCTTATTAGGTAATCCGACACCACCTACACTCCAGAGTAGGGGCCCTGAAGCAAGGGGCAGGCCCCGACAAGGAACAGTGCTAAACTAATCCCAAAAGGAATCCCAGGAGCCCTTGTGAATTTCCTCTTCTGGCCTCAGAGTCTGAGAAGAAGCCAGGGGGTTATTAGGCATCTGGTCAGTTCCCCTTTGCTTCAAATTCTTAATGCAACAGAAAGAAACTGACTTATCTGGATCATTTCCCTTTATCAAATGAACTAATGGGGGCTGAGCAGGAGATCTACTGAGCTCTCAGCCCCTGAGGTTCTACCAGTACCTAAATCTGCCACCCTCAAGTAGATTCCAACTCATGGTGACTTCATGTATGTCAGAGTACAACTGTGTTCCATAGGGTTTCCAATGGCTGATTTCTCAGAAGTAGATCACCAGGCTTTCTTCAAGGTGTCTTTGGGTGGACTTGCACCTCCAATCTTTGAGTTAGCAGCCAAGCACATAACATTTGCACCACCCAGGGACTCCTTAGCTCCCATGGCCAACCAAAAGAAAGGGAGGAGAAAGAAGCCGGGAATGAAAGGCAGTAGCAATAATATATACAAGAGGCAAGAAACAAGAAAGGTCAGGATGGAGAAGAAAGAATAAGAACCAAGGAAGAAAAAGGGGGAAATGAATGGGAAAGGACTGAGGATTGGATGGACAGAATAAAACCAAGCCACTTCCCCATCTCCCTGCAGAGATCCTCAGCAGAAAAGCAGCCTGAGCAAGGGCTTAGCCCTAGTACTCACATGAGTTCCCGGACCATGTCCCGAGTGATGAGCTGGATGGTCTCCGGCTTGTGGCCTTTGCCCGATGTAGTGAGAGCTCTCTGAATGGCATGCTTATCTCGGAGCAGCACAATGGGGCTGTTACTGGGGGTCTGTGACAGAGGCTACAGGATCAAAAAGAGCAGCTTAGAAGCTGATCACCCCGATTCCTCCTGGTCAGTTCTAACTTCAAGGCTGTTCTGAGATTTCCAGCCCCTCTAGGAAGCAGGGGAGGCTAGAACTCCCACCTCTACACCATAGGATGGTCAGGAGTAGCCAGGGCACTGAAAGAGCAGTATGGTGCTCTTTGTCTGCACATGGATGTATTCTGTGTTGACCAGCTCCTCTGAGACCAAGACTTCTCTATAAGTTGTGTAGGTAAATACATCTGAGGGGATAGGGAAGGGGTGGGTTGCTAGTATGTGTATAACTCCTAGTCTAAAATCGTTAGGAAGGAAAAGTAAATCTTTGGTATCTAGATTCTTCTCCTCCTTCCATCACTTATGAAAAAAGAAATCATTCTCTTGCTTAGACCCCACTGTGTGTTTAAAGCAATATATTTTGTTGTAGATTGATCCAACTTATGATGTTAAGAATTTTTAATCCTTTCTAATGATTAACCTCGAAGGCCCCACAGACTCCCCCCCAGAATAAATAAATAAATAAATTAAAAGCCATCTTGAGGGACTCTGAAATGTGGTAAATGGCCTGGTGGAGAAGTGTCCTTAAAATTTTGATGGTGAAGCAGTCAGTGAGTTAGAATTCAGCAAGGAAAGATTAGCTATATAATTTTTCAATTTTCTTCTTTAAGTGAAGGAGTTAGCTAACAAGAAAATGAAATTACTTATTTCAGGAAAACGTTAAACACAGGAGGGAATTTTATTTGTCACTGATGCTGTCAGTATGCTCCTGACTGGAGGCAGGGGCATGGCCTCAATGGAGAGCCCCTCCAGTCCCATGAAAAGAAATTCACTTTGCAAAGCTGGTTCCCCTGAGTGCTGCTGCCACCTGGTGCCTGGTCTCTGCTTCCGGGCAGACACAACATCCTAATGCCATAGGGCACTTCTGCCCCCTGTTGCCGATAGGGTGTCTTCCTAGACTGTCACCCAGCAATCAGATCAGCATTTTGCTGACTGCCCCTTTTTGCAAGCCAGCATGACTCATGAAGACCTTGGCCATTTCCAAGGCTATCTTTGCTTTGACTATAAAACTTCCATGAACCCAAAACAAAAATTGTCTGTGTGTAAAACTGCATTCCTTTAATTCTTTCCCTTATCAATTTGGAAAACTGCTGTGAAGAGGGAGTCTTCTAAATGGAGAAAGACACCCATCTTGAGACCTCTGGAAAGTGCTTTTCAGTTCATAGTAAGGATGGTACGGAGCAGGGGTAGACACCAAGTCTTCTGCCCCCAGCCGCACCCTGCTGCCAGAGGGGTCCTGGTCTCTACTGATATCTCTTTCTTTCTCCCTTCTCTTTTCCTTCTCTCTTAATCTCTCATTCTCTCGTTCTCTTTCCCCCCTGCCCTCTCCTCCTTCTCACCTTTGGAATTTATGTGTACCAAAAAGCAACTCTCTAGCTGGCCTTTTCTAAACTAAAGAAGTGCTGACTCCTTAATTTGGATGACACTTGCAAACAAATTCCCCCAAAGCTAAGTGATTATTATGCTGAGCAATTGGGAAAGGAAGATGATTTCTGTTTTACCCTAATGCTGTTCTTGGATGGAAGGGGAAATATGTTGCCCAGTTTCTGCAAGATTGGCCCAGGGGCCTTAAATGTTTCCATCAAGGCACTATCATTCAGGAACTATTGAGTCCCCTGCAGCTGAGGCTCTCTTTTGCCATTACAACAGATTTTAAATGCTGGGCAAGTATGAGGATTTCAGGGGGGAGGAAGCCAGGTGCCCCTGTTTACACAAGCTCCACTAGATCTACCTGTGACAGGGATGATTTGTCCAGTGCTAGCTTAGGAGCTCTGGTAGCATAGTGGCTAAAGCACTTGACTGCTAACCAGAGGGCTGGCGGTTCAAACCCACCAGCCACTCCTCGGAAGGAAGGTTGGGCAATCCTACTTCCGTAGTGATACTGCCTCGGAAACCCAAGGAGGGGTCGCTATGAGTCAGGGCCGACTCGATGGCACATAACAACAACAACAACAGCTTTGTCCTGAGCACTGTGACTTCCAGGTACCATCTACCTGGATCAGCTTGGTAAGAGTTACCTTGATACCTCCAAATAGGCTCTCATCCACCTCAGAGCTCACAGCTTTGGTCCGATAGCGAGTCCTACTTCTTGACCTATTGGAAGTGGAAGAAGCAGAGCTCGGGGCACCAGTTGTGCTCAACAGCTGGAGGAAGAGGCAGAAAGTTTTGAGTCATCAGTATGAGTGACATCTGACCCCTGGGCATAGTAAACATTTCTCCAGCCCATGCTGGGGAAGGTGGGTGGGGGTGTCAAAAAACTACTTAGGAAAAGCCCCTGGGTAAACAAGGAACTGTAAGGGACAAAGACTAACAGGTGGATGGATGACACCCTCATGGGCTCAGAGGGGTCTTTGGGTGGGAGCAAGACATACTCACTCTGTGAAAAGGAGCATATCTAGAGCTGAGGAAGGCCAAGTTGGTCATGTGATAGGAAGGAAGGATAAAGGATATGGGGATGGCAGGAGGAGATGAGCAACAGTTCCACCTCATTTCCTGCCCAGTCCCAGTTTCTCACAAAGATAACCTCTTGGGAAGCAATTTGGACACATCTACCCAGAAAGCTACAGTGTTCCTTCACCTCCAAACTTCTCCACCTGAACTCTAAGCCCCCTTCCCAAATAACACTCTCATTTGACCACCTTCCTGTCTCTACAATCTGATAAGGTTATGGTGGGGACCAGAGAGGATCTAAAGGATGAACAAGCACCTTGCCCACTGTTTGGCACATGGTTGGTGCCTAATAAACTTCAGTGGATGGATGTCGAATGATTACCAGCTATAATCAGGCAAACCAGTTAATGTCCACAACGTGGCTCTTTCACTCCCATGACCCCTTTAGTGCATATTACTCATTTTCTTAGCCATCCAGTATCTTCCTATGTTTGGGGAATTCCCTGTCTAATAAGTTGTAGCAAACAGGCTTGTCTCTGGCTATAGAAGCTGAAAACACAAGGTCTTTGCCTTTCTAGACTGGTCAAGGGAACTAGGCTTAGCCAGCCCTGAAGATGAATAGGGAACTAGTGATGCAAAAAGCAGGAACAAGGAAAACCTTTCTGGCAGTGTCAGCTTTACCCAGTATCTGAGACAATGCTGATAAGGGTACCAACAGCAGCACCCTAGCATCCAAAGCTGGCAGTGGTGGAAGTCCAACAGTACATCAGGCGTCTTTGCCAGCCCAATTCTAGGCCATGATTTTAGCCTTGGTTCTGGCTGCAGAGCCTCCCTTTGTTACTGCCTATTTTCCAAGCCTAGTTTTCCAGCCATGGTGTAAAGTCTGAACTCTCCCACATCCTCTTAACACATTCCTATCTACTTAAATTGGAGTCTGGCTCTGTGACATATAACCAAGAACCCTGACTAATACAGTGTCCATTCCCAAAAGTCAGTCCAGCTTCAGCTCAGCCCCATGAGTAGAAGTCTGTCTCCAGCAGGCAGTTTCTGCAAGGGCTAGTGGGAGACACCAGGCTTGATCTAAGACTGAGTCAAACCTCACTTTGGAGGCGCCCAGGTCTCCCACAGCTCTCTAAGTAGGGGTATCTTAGGGCAATGAGCTAAATATATTGCATTTTTCCGAGTCTGAAAATCAGCAGCTATGGAGGGGACAGGATGAACAGGGAAATGGATGCACTTGTGGTCATTAAACACTAAGAAATGTTTTAAAACATCTCTCTGTGGCCTGGCATTACTCCAACCAGACACCTCCAGCACCTGTCCCACCTGTATCAGGTTTTTCACACTAACTTGAGCAATTATTCTCCAGCTGGCTCTGTTGTATGTTATCAGTACTGCTCTGTATACCCTTTGCCTCCCTGCCTGGTACAGCCAGTGAAAGTGCCTTACAGAGGGAACCTCCCTTTACACCCTCAGTCAGCCCCAATGCAGCAGGACAAAAAAGCTTGGAATTATTAGAAGGTAAATATACCTCAGGGCTACTGCCCTGAGGATGCTTAAAAACAAGGTTATCATATGGTGCGTGGTGAGCAACTGCTCCCCTTCCCACTGAAAATAAAAGTAAGAGGAAATGAATAGAAACTGCAGAAGGTGGGGTTGAGGCTAAGCATTGGGAATAACTGAAGAGGTAGAAGACAATGGATCATGAAAAATGGTGTGAGTTCTGTATATAATTGAGGAAAAAGGCACAGTGCCTGGCACATAGGAGCTCAATATGTGTTTAATGAGGAAACAATGAATGAAACCAAGGAAGCCAAGCTCTCAAGGACTGCAGCCCAGATTGAAACGGAAGCCTTGCCCGGCTCCACAGGGCACTCTATCACTCCACATTTTCCCTATCACCAATATGGTCTGCACTGTGGAAAACAATGTATGGGGAAAGCCTTTGAAGTACAGATGGAAAATATTATTATTGTTTTGCACTTCTTTTCCTCCTTCATAGGGCCAACTATGGGTTTTCCCTTGGGCTTGGTGTCCATCAGACTGCAGGTTCCTCCAGGGCTAAGGCTGCATCTCCTCCTTCCTGAGCCCTTGATATCAAGGTCAAGAGGAAGTCACAACAAGAGATAACTGACTGCCTGAGCTGAGGAGTCAGTACAGAGGAAGGGAAGCAGATGACCACAGAAAAGTGGTCACTGAGCAGGGCAGAAGAAGTACTATGTCCAGGGTTGGGTGGCAGAGAAACGTTATTTGGGAAATGCTGACTCTGAAGCCACAAACCTTACTTACATCAGGGTTAGAATAACCAGTTTTTCCAAGAGTAACAAGAAAGATTAGGGCGGTCACTGTGCTACAAAAAAGAAGAAGGAAAAGAAGAAGAAGAACCACGAGGCAGAAATAGAAAGTTAGATCTCTCTGGGCCAGAGACAGTAGCGAAGAGGTTCTTTCAGGTGGTAAATGAATGGTTGTATTGCTTACATGACCAATAAATAGCTCCAAGAAGCTAAGCAGTGCCTAGAGAGAAGTGGGCCTAGTCCTACTTAAAGGGAAGGAAGAGAGACTAACAAACTAGCTTTTATAGCTGAGGAAGCAAAGGGGATTGGGGAAGATAGGGACTGAGGGCAAACAGAGATGCCAGCCCTGCTTCACTGTGTACATCTTGATGACCTGGCTGACTCCATCTCTCTTCCTAAACCATCCCACGCCAGGGGCACAAGAGTTCAGCCACAGCTAAGGGTTTTGCGAGACTCTGACACAGAAAGATTAGCTGGTCAAGCGGGTGCTAACTTAGACTTACAGTCATTGGTACTGGAGAATCTCCATAACATATTAACCTTTAAAGAAAGCAGATTATAAGAAATATGGAAACCCACTGCCATGGAGTCAATTCCAACTCATAGCAACCTCCACTGGGTTTCCAAGGCTATAAAACTTTACAGGAGCAGCCAGTGGGTTTGAACTGCTGACCTTGGAGTTAGCAGCCAAACACCTTACCTCCTATGTCACCAGAGCTCCTTTTAAAATACATGTAAAGCATGTAAAAATGTTCTTAGGGAGGGTATGCACCCAGTATGCATTACTGAAAGAACGTTCACAAAAAATGTTTAACAGTAATTTCCAGGGAATTTTACCATCTTAAGATATTTCTTATATTGAATAATTTTCTGCAATAAGTTATTATTTTTATCACCAGAAGAAAAATAATAAAACTATTTTTATTTAAATACAAAACAGAGGGCCTGGTGCCCTGACTCTAAAGACAGGAGAGGCCAGTGCTTAAAAAACCAGAGCATTGTATAGCCAGACATCCAGGATGTTTAGCTTAAATCCAGCAAGACAAAGCTGGAACAGGGCTGGAACAGATCGGTGTGGAGTTTCCTTTACGTAACTGCAACACCTGTCAGCTGAACAAAGACAAAGACATGTCCTTTCCTAGATGTCCTCTCCACCCTGGAATCTAGTTCCTCTTTCTCATTCAAATTCACCGTAAGCTGGCAAATTCAGGCTTCAAACTCTTGGCCTGATTCTACTTCCCTCTAAGTGGGCCTTGGTTATTCCAGGAAGAAGATGGGAATTCCTACACCCTAGGCACTTATCTTTCACTCTGAGTTAACTCTTTCCTCTCTTGGGATTAGATTGGCCCATTGTGGGATGCAATGTGAAGCTGACACTTCTATTCAGTTCTGAGGCCCCTATTCCTTTCTGGAGGATGTTGTTACTCATTGTTTTTGTAAAAGTTTGGGCAGCCTGCCTCTCTCCCACCATCACCTCCAAACACTGTCAAAAGCTGGTGAGTAGCAACACACACATACCCAACCTGCCAAAAGAGCGAAAACCTATTGCTGTCAAGTCCAACTCATAGTGACCCTATAAGACAGAGTAGAACCACTCCCTAGTGTTTCCAAGGCTATAATCTTTACAGAAGCAGCCCTGGTGGTGTGGTGGTTAAATGCTCAGCTGCGAACCAAAAAGCCAGCTGTGCCATGAGAAAAAGATGTGGCAGTCTGCTTCCGTAAAGATTTACAGTCCTGGAAACCCAATGGGACAGTTATACCCTGTCTAAAGGAGCTCTGGTAGCATAATGCCAGAAGGCTGACAGTTCAAATCCACCAGCCACTGCTCGGAAGGAAGACTGGCCAATCTACTTCTGTAGTGATGATGCCTCAGAAACCCAAGGAGGGGTCACTATGAATTTGATCCGACTTGACGGCAGTGTGTTTGGTTTATAGGGTTGCTATCACTTGGAATTGACTTGACAGCAGTGGCTTTAGTTTTGAGGATCTTTATAGAAGCAGACTAGGAGCTCTAGTAGTATAGCACCTAAGGCATTTGACTGCTACCCAGAAGGCTGGAGGTTCAAACACACCAGCCACTCCTCACAAGGAAGGTTGGGCAATCTACTTCCGTGATACAGCCTCGGAAACCCACGGAGGGGTCGCTATGAGTCAGATCCGACTCCACGGCAGTGTTTGCGTTTTGCATTTTTATAGAAGCAGACTGCTACACCTTTCTCTGGCAGAATGGCTGGAAGGTTCAAACCATCAAATTTTGGTTAACAGCTGAGCTCCTAACCACTGTACCACCAAGGATGCTTGCCAGAAGTTTGGAAATCACTAATTTGACCTATTGCTTCTCACAGGTGTCCATGTGCTCATTCCTATCTAAGGAATTACAAAAGGGCTTGGTCAGCCAGCCAAACCTGTGCCCTGAGTGATCCCTGGAGAGGAACACCGTATCTGGATGCTCTCCAGCCCACAAATCTAACCCAAGGGAACTCAAGGATTAGGAGGGCTTGGGAATATGAAAGAAGTCTCTGGGTGGTACAGTTAAGTGCTAGACAACTAACCAACAATAGGTTCAAATCCACCAAGAGGCACCTTGGAAGTAAGACCTGGTGATTTGCTTCCAAAAGATCACAGCCTTAAAAACCTGTGGAACGGTTACACTATGCACATATGGGATCACCATGAGTCAGGATTGATTTGACAACAATTAACAGCAAGAACAAAGGAATACGAAAATTTTTAAACATGAGGGAGAGAAAACGAATACTTACTGTATGCCCTTATGTGCCAGGCATGGTGCTAGGCTCTCTCATACATACATATAACACCACTGTACTACAGGCTCTGAGGGAAGGTGAGCACAGTGAATCGTAAGTGAAAGGGGACCCATACACACAAACTGCAATGTTGCACGGAGTCCTCAAAGCGGGAAAATGCTTTTTGTTGGGGACTTGTTTATTTCAGAATTAACAATGCTTTTCAGAAATCCCTAATTGGGAACTCTGAATTTGAGTCCCAAAAAAGCAGTGTAACTTCTGGAGTGTGTCCACAAGTGGCACACAAGTAGCCATCTTTGTCAGATGATGTACCCCAGAAATTCTAGGCTTATTTTCAACAACTCAAGACTCCAATACCTACCCTCTGCCCTATCCATCTATCCCCAAGGTAACAATACACTCAAGCCCAGGTATCACTTTAATAATTCCTCCCAGGTCTGTTGCCCTTTTCAACCCTTATGACCTGTACAGTCCCATCCCAGAGAAATCCAGACCTACCAGAGACAGGTCCTAATCTCAATTCCCAGTCCCCTTCCCTGGCCTTGCAAGCCAGGTACCTTCCTCATTCATGTGCAAATTTTTATTGAAAACTTACTCAATAACCCAAGGCCCAGCTAACAGAAGAGAAAACTTTGGCTTAAGGTCATTAGGTAGACTTCCCCATGGTCATACTGCTAGTTGGTGACAAATTAAAAAAAAAAAAAAACCAAACTCACTGCTATGGAGTTGGATCCAACTCATAGCAACCCCTCCTTGGGTTTTCGAGGCAGTCTGGTAAGTTTGAACAGCCAGTCTTCTGGTTAGCAGTCAAATGCCTTAGGCACTACACCACCAGAGCTCCCCAAATAGGTACTATAATCTATTATCTGGCCTCCTCACCAGTGTTTTTTCCATACCATATCCCAATCCCCTGCCCACGCATGGGCAGCCCCAGCCCGATGGGGACTGGAGTGACAGACATGCCTTTCTCCCCAACTCCCTGGCTCAGCACCCTTCCACAATGACAATCCCTATCCACTCTACTTCTAATTTCTCTTTTGGATATCCTTCCTGACTTCGGTAGCTTCTTCAAGGGATGTCCTCTTCACTCCTGGGCCTTCCTGACCCACAACTCAACTTCTGCCTTCCTCCACCTTTGGGTTTTCCCAGCTTGGAACCTCAACCCAGCTCAGGACACATGATGTTCCATCCGAAATTCTCTGCTACCACCCGTGTTCTCACCATCTCAGTCGCACGCCCTGACTCGGGGCTTCAGCGGCCTTTGCAGCCAGCACCTCCACCACCGCGGCCTCCAGGGAGGCGGTGGGTGTTGACGCGTTACCATAGCAACCAAGAGCCCGCGTTCTCGGGCCAGGCCCCGCCCCGCCCCGCCCTCTTCGGCTGGCAGTTGCAGAGCGCAAGTTGCTTTCGGGATCCTCACCAGGCCCTCTGACTATTCGGACCTGACGCAGGAACGGGAACCGTGGCCCTTACTGATCCGACCCGGCGCGGCCTGCTCTTCATTTTGGCTGAGATTTTGAGTCAAGAATTAGGATGGGCCCAGGGATCTTATTGCCAGGTCATGCTTTTCCCCTAGACAACCCACCTAGGTTACCATGTTTACCGTTGTCCCATAGAGTACCAAGCCAAACCCTGACGAGCGTTTTGTCTTCAGAGAACCAAACCGGACCAAACGAAAAAGTTTCACAGCAGAAGAGATTCTGATTAGACCAAAGAAAAGAACTCCCAGCTGTGAGGATATGTATGGAGTCTCCCTGAAATTTGGGCCTCAGACTTGCAACTCAGAATTTAAAAATAAAAATGTAGGCCCTAGGTCAGACCATCTGAGTCAAGATGTATGGAATTGGGTTTTAGGGAACTGCCTTTGAACCAGCTTCGCAGCTTATTTGCATGCACTGTTCTGAAAGGGTTTTTAGGAGTTGTATGATTTCTCAACTTTGGCCCTTGTGCCTCCAGATCTGCAGGGACAGAACTGAGCTGATGCCCACAGCCTGCCTGCCCCAACCCCCACAAAGCCTTCCCAACTTACAAAGTACTTTTCCTCTGCCTGTGCTTATCATCTGTACTCTTGGGTCAAAAAGAAATGGTGGCCCTGCGATTCTGTGAGCTACCTGCCCACTCCCCAAACCTTGCTCCAGCCCTGACCTCACAGCCTGTCTTTCTGAAGGCTGCTCCAACTTCACTTTTGTGCTTCAAAACCATTGGATGCATCTTGTGACACACTTGCAGCTAAAGGAGGATTGGCTGCCAAGCTAGGGACATCAAGGGCTGTTGACAAGCCCCGAGGGGAATAGCAGAAAAGGGACAGGGTCACCTCCTGCTGTTTTTAAAAGGACTGTTAAAAATCATATTAAGCCAACAATAAAAATTGATTGAAGCTTATTTAATATATGATTTGCAAATCAGGGCAACATTTCAACTGTTGTTGTTATGTGCCGTTGAGTTGAACCCGACTCATAGCGACTCCTCCTTGGGTTTCCGAGGCAGTATCACTACTACGGAAGTAGATTGCCCCATCTTCCTTCTGAGGAGTGGCTGGTGGGTTTGAACCACCAGCCTTCTGGTTAGCAGTCAGGTGCCTTAGCCACTATGCTACCAGAGCTCCCACATTTCAACTAGGGAGTCAAAAATGTTCTGAAGGTGGGAACTCCCAAAATTCTTATACCCTATTTTGTAGCCAGTGCCCTAGAAGAAGAGACAAAACAAAATTGATAAAACAATTTGTGGTTAGGAAGTGTTTCATACAGCATAGTCTTGAAGAACAATTAAAATAATTACTGATTTACCCTTAAATATAGCTCTAGGCTGACCCTTTGGATGTTGTTTCTCAAAACAGACTGCACATAAATAATTCTTGAAAAGAGCATACTGCCTAAGGCAGGTCTTTTCTACGTTGTCTAGACTATTGTTTGACTCAAAGGTGACTTTTAGAAGCCAATTTTAAGGTTCAGGGTTCAAAAGGACATTGAAGGGCAATGGCCTGGGTAGGTTACTCCAACTCCATGGACCCCATGCATCTGGATTCCTGTTTCTCCGCACTTACTTCAGCAGGCTTCACATTCCTTCCTAGATTATCCAACCTTTAGCTCCTGCAGGATCCTCAAAAGAACAAGATTGTGCCCCACACACACACCATCCCAAGCCCCACACAAAAGTGTTTGAAGTGGGATAAGAGAGAAGAAACAGAAGAGCAACTACTATACAGAGGCAGGCCAAAAGAGAGAGAGCTCAGTCCTTGGGTGGCTTGGGAGTGAAAACAGGGGATTTTCCATCCCTGGCACCTTTCTTTCCCAGCCCCCACATCATAATTTCCACTTTCCTGATGCCCAGAGAGAAGGAAAGTCGTCATTAGCCCCCTGTGGATCTGGTGTCTCCCATATGTTTTTCAACTACTCTTCACAGCCCCATCTCTATAACCAAACCAAACTCACTGCCTTCAAGTCAGTTCCGACTCATAGTGACCCCTCCTCAGGCAGTATCTCTACGGAAGTAGATTGCCCAGTCTTCCTTCAGAGGAGTGACTGGTGGGTTTGAATCACCAGCCTTATGGCTAGCAGTCAAATGCCTTAAGGCACTACGCTACCAGAGCTCCTACGCCAACAGAGCTCCCTCTCTATAGGGTAACAGCAACGCAACCATTGCCGTGGAGTTGGATCCGACCCATAGCGACCCCTCTTTGGGTTTCCGAGGCAGTATCACTACAGAAGTAGATTGCCCAACCTTCCTTCTGGGAGTGGCTGGTGGGTTTGAACCGCCAGACTTCTGGCTAGCAGTCAAATTGTTATCAACTAACGACTTACCAGATAGGTAACTGTTCTATTTTCAACCCAGGCTGCCTCTCTGAAGGAAAGGTGTAAAGTTAAGGAAGGAAAGAGAAAGATGACAGTGCAGTTTAAGAGAATCCCCTCCCACCCCTGGTAACCAACAAAGAAAATTTCCTTCCATATATAAAACTTTCCTTGACTTTTTATAATAACAGACTAATACAATATTTATCCATCTGTAATTGACTTATTTCACTCAGCATAATATCCTCCAAGTTCATCCACATTATGCGGTGTTTTGCAGATTCTACGTTATTCTTTAGGGTTGCATAGTATTCCATTGTGTGTATGTACCATGGTTTAGTTATCCATTCTTCTGTTGATGGACACATGGGTTGTTTCCATCTTTTGGCTATTGTAAATAGTGCTGTGATGAACATGGGTGTGCAATAACGTTCTTGTCCTGGCTTTCACTTCTTTAGGATATATACTTTGGTGGTTAAGTTTGTGTGTCAACTTGGCTGGACCTGGTTGAGTGGTTGGGCAGCTGAATATAGTTATTCCCCACGGTGAGACTGGTAATTAACTCCATGGTGGAATCTAGGAGCAGCTGAATAGTTGCTTTGGGTATGTGGTCTGCTTCCCGCATATAAGAAACAGCTTTGGGAATGGTCTCTAGTTTATGGCACACTTAAACCCTGCATGTAGTCATGTTGTTGTTCAGCAGCCTGCCATGCTCTGCCAACCTTGGGACTTTCAATGGACTTGAATTAATGGCCTGCCATGTGGTTTGATAACATCGGGACTGTGCCTTTTCACTTGTCAAACTTTGGGCTTGTCAGTATCAGCATCCAGCAACTCTCTGAGTGAAGAAAAGCCTCTAGCTTCAGTTGGCTGGAACAGGAGGCAGAGCTAAAGTCAAGGTTGAGGGGCTTTCAACCAGCCCCTAGAGCCTGGCACTTTGAACTCAGACTTAAAGCCTCCAAACTGTGAGAGAATAAACTCCAGTTTGTTCAAGCCATCCCATTTGTGGTATGTTCTTGTCAGAGTGGCACTAGGGAACCAGAATATATACCTAGTAATGGAATGGCTGGGTCAAATGGTATTTCTAATGCCAACTTTTTAAGGAATTGTCATACTGCTTTACATAGTGGTTTTATCATTTGACAGTCCCACCAGCAGTGTATGAGAGTCCCAATCTCTCGGCATCCTCACTAGCATTTGTTTTTTTCTGTCTTGTTGAACTTTGCTACTGGTGCTGGGGCAAGATGGAATCTCACTGTTGTTTTGATTTGCATCTCTCTAACAGCTAACAAGGGATATCATAGCTGTTGTCAGATGGATCTTGGCTCAAGGCAAAGAATACCAGAAAGATGTTTACTTTTGTTTTATTGACTATGCAAAGGCATTTGATTGTGTGGATCATGACAAATTATGGATAACATTGAGAACAATGGGAATTCCCG